GGGGGGGGAGGGGGAAGGAGAGGAGAGAGGGAGGGAGAGGGAGACACTGATCGCCTGCCCTACCACATTCGCCCCAACTGGGGATTGAAGCTGCACCCTAGGCATGTGCCCTAACCAGGAAATGAACCAGCGACCCTTCAGTGCACAGGACGGTGCTCAACCAACTGAGCCACTCTGGTCGAGCTGCACCCTTCTTCTTAAAGACATTGGTCACTTGTGCCACAGCCCTTTGGTTAGAACTAGTTAAATGGCCTCAGCTAGCTGCAAGAGGGCTGTGACATGTAATCTCCTTTGACCCCAAAAAAGGGAAAACGAAAGGGGGCTTGGTGAATACATGGCATCGTGTGCCATGTGTTTAATTACTTTCGTTTGAGGGGAGCCTACCTGTGATGTGCGCTAACCTTCTCCAAGGCAGAGAGAAGCCATTCTATCCACTCGCCAGCAGAGGTTGGCACCAAAGAGGTGCACTGTCAGGACTTGTGGACTGAATAAATCAAACGAATGATCACCTCACTTTTTGCCTGGCTTGGGAAGCACACATTCTGAGTCATATTTAATTCCCTCACTCCCAGGCCGAACCCTTTCAAAGATCCTAATTAGATTCTTAGAAGAAATAATACCCATCAGACAAACAAATGACAGGAGGTTGCCTGTGGAGCTAAACTCCGGGCTGGGAAAATGTAATAAGAGGGTCCGTTTCTCAGGGGACTAGACAGATATGAGGGGAAAAGGTCGTGCCTATTCACAGCGGGCACAATGCCCACAGACAGTGTCCTTCAAGGACCAGCGCCCTGTTCGCTGTTAGTCTGACAAGGAAGAGAGAACACGTTTATGGAACTGTAAGGACACTCTGTTTCTGATCAATTAAGCTTCAGAGATAAATTAAGTTCTGATCAATGAAGCTCCAAATTGTTGGCAAGGGTGTTCTATAGCCAGAAAGGCTGCATTATGGGAAATATGGGGAATTCCAGAACCATCTCTCTGCTGCACTTTGGCAAAGCAACGGCAGTTCACCTTGGTGCTCTGGCCTGTTTATTATCCTCTTGTGTGGATGCACTTGGGTTGTCACAGTATCATAGGGTGTCACCTGGGACCTCAGAATCATTTGAGAACAACCAGCTCAATTTGCAGATGAGGACATTGGAGACCAGACAGGTTAAACTCGGCACGGTTTAATGTCTGTCACTGAGCAGGCTGTGCACTGCGGAACTTAGAGGGTGCTATTAACACAGGCTCCATGTGAATGACGCCTCCTGGGATAGTCCTGTTTGCTTCCACGGTGAACACAAAATGACCTCTAGTTGATTTGAATGAAAAATGTGTATACATTTCAAGTATCATTCAACTGAGATGATTTGAAGAAGGTTAGCATAGCTTTGTAAATTGTGATTCTCTGAATCTTGAAGAGTCCCATATTTTTATTTCCTTTTTAAAAGTCAGGATTTTATGGCAGCTAAGAGCTCAGACTCTGGAATCAGGCAGAAATGTGATCTGACTGTTAATTAGCTATGACCTTAGGCAAATCTCTTTAGCTCTCTAACATCAGGCTCTTCATTTGTAATATGAACATAATATTATGACTGGGTGGGACAATGTTAGCTACAAATTACCCATTTCCCCCACCCAAACCTGGCTTCTTTGCCTACTCTGGATTTGTTCTAGGTAGGAATGGGCTCGCCTTAGACCAGTGGTTCTCAACCTTCCTAATGCCACGACCCTTTAATACAGTTCCTCATGTTGTGATGACCCCCAATTTCATTGTTACAAATTGAACATAATTAAAGCATAGTGATTAATCACAAAAACAATATGTAATTATATATGTGTTTTCCGATGGTCTTAGGTGAACCCTGTGAATGGGTTGTTTGACCCCCAAAGGGGTCTCGACCCACAGGTTGAGAACCGCTGCCTTAGACTAGGGATCATGATTGGGCACAAGGCAATCAATCTTGCAATCCCATTCCCTGCTTTCTGAGACTCCTTTGCAGCTAGGGGTAGCCATGTGATCTGCTCTGACCAATGGGAGTATTGCTTTCACTTTCAGGAGATTCAATTACACTTGAGTTCATTTCATTCTTTACAGAATTAGATAGATCTTGAAGGTGGAGTCCAGTTGGGAAGAGAATCCATCTGTGCAGTGGCCCGCTCGTGTGACCTGGGACTAGCCACTTGCCTTTGGGATCTTGGTTTTCTCACGTAAAGTGAGGAGGGTTGAATGCTGCCTGGCAGATTATTTATTTATTCATATGTAGTATAGGCAGAGAGTACTCTTCAGACCTCATGCCTGGCCACCCACTGCCCAACACCCTTTAGCTTCTCTCCAAGGGGAAGGTGATCATTGGCTCCCTCAGAGTCTGGGACACTCCTGGGGCCATGTGTCCTAGAGGAAGGGGTCACTGTGTGGCAATGGCTGTAGCTCTGCTCTGCCTCCTCCCCCACTTCTCGAGGCTGGGTAGGACCATGATCTAACACCTGCTTGAAATGTTATACTTTCCTTTAAATGTTGGCCACTGGATTGGGTTATATATTAAAGTTGATAAGACTCTAAGACTTATGTTCATGGTTGGGGGTGGGGGATTAGGAAAACTGTTTTAGTCTAGAGTTTAAACCAAGTGCTCTAATCTAACTTTTTTTTAGAGAGTTCTGCATTGGTGATTATTAGGCCCAAGGTCAACTTTCAATAAGTGTCCAAGCCAGCTACTATTCCTTTCATATGGTTCCCTGAGGAACTTTGGGAGTGGGGTGAGTGGGAGGGAAGGTATAAGGAGATCAACAGGGGCAAGATTCAGGCATCCCTGGATCCTACTCTCAATAGCATCAAAAATATTAGTAAAATCTCAATGCAAGCTAATTCCTATTAAACTTTTAACAAATATTTCACAAACACCCATTTTATGCTATGCCAGCCATCTCTGATGTTCTAAGATGCTAAAATTCTACCACATTGGTTAGGATCGACATTGAACCCCAAATTCCCATCTTCCCAATGGTTTGTGGTTTCTACTCCTGAGACTGAATACCAGTGGTGGCTCCAAGGGACAGTTGGTGAAGTAAATGGTCCAAGCAATGTTTTAGGAGGGGCAGGGGAAATTCCCATATTTCAGCACAGCTTCTTCTCCAGTGCCCTAAAGCCACCTCCAGCCCATCCTTTCTCTGCAGGATGGTTTGCACTTACTGACCTCCCATTTGGTTTATTGAGGAAAATTTGTGTCTTGAGCTTCAGATCTTAACTCTGAACCCACTAATATCTAGAACAATGGGTAGCTACGTCGGTTTGACATTGGTCCTCACTGAAACCACTTTGGTTGGCGGATCTTTCATTCCACCCCCCGTCCCCCATGATAATCTCCAAGTTGATCAATTTTAATGGAATTTGAGCCTGCAAAAGGCATTAAAATGCACTTTAAGATAAGAATGCTTTCATTCACCCTGTGTCCAGCATCCAAGACTCTGTGGGGTCAGAAATGGAATAATCAAACTTTATTTGGTGTAGCAGAAAGGGCAGGAACTGTGCTCACTGTCACACCTGGATCCAGATCCCAGCTCTGCCCCTTATGAGCTGCAACAAGATCTCTTAACCTCAATTTTTTCTTGAAAAGTAGGTATTGTCTCTGTGCCTGGCTTACAGAGTTGCTGTGAGGATGGAATGAAAACATGTATTAAAGGGCAGTGCTTGGGCACACAGTAAGTGCTCAGTAAATGGAAATGGTTATTATTAAACACTCTCAAGTGGCAGCAGCCATGGTGATGGGGGCTCCATTCAGAAAGCCACTCATCATCTTCAACCCACGGCCCACAAAAACTACTGGGCAAAGATGAAGGTAAACATTACAAGATATACTTTAAGAATAACACTCTTGCTGAAACCGGTTTGGCTCAGTGGATAGAGCGTCGGCCTGCGGACTGAAAGGTCCCGGGTTCGATTCCGGTCAAGGGCACGTACCTGGGTTTCGGGCACATCCCCAGTAGGAGATGTGCAGGAGGCAGCTGATCGATGTTTCTCTCTCATCGATGTTTCTAACTCTCTATCTCTCTCCCTTCCTCTCTGTAAAAAATCAATAAAATATATTTAAAAAAAAAAAAGAATAACACTCTTAAATTGTATATCTCTTTTTCCTCACAGAGCCTCTAGTCTCAGAGATATTTGGATTTCAGCTTGCAGGAAGAGGTGGGTTTTCTGTTTTAGAGTTATTTTTTTAAGTTTCTAATAGTGGATAGGAGTGGGGCTGGGTGAAGGAAGAGGGGTACAGGAGTGACTCAGGGAAGGAGATAAGGTACTGGAGTCCTCCAGGTGGGATAAGGAAAAAGAATTTATGTCATGAAGACAAGCCCATTTAGTAGCCATGACACAGAAACCCCTTTTCAGAAAGATCCCATGCTTGATTTGGTGTTGTGCTGTCATTGTCATCTTGAAATTATTAATAATTTTAATTAAGGGCCCTGAATTTTCATTTTGCACTGAGCTCTGAAAATGTACTTATGCGTCCAGTCCTTCATAAGTATAAGGGTGAGGAGTGGAAGGGGCTCGGTGTAGCTTGAGCTGCCTGCCCCTGTGGATTACCCAGTGATCATCACCTTTGAACCACAAGGTATCCCAGAATCAGCACTTTTTAATCCCCTTGAGCGGAAGGAGGCCTTGGATGTGTATGGGTGTCTTTAAGAATGGGGAATCTTGCTGTCCCTGATCAAGGTGGATCTGATATAACCAGGAAGGCTGTTGGGGAGCACATGAGACTTGGTTGGAAAGTTTGTAAGGAGGACATTCTGAGAAAAGGGAAGTGTGTGGAAGGCCGCCTGCCCTGTTTATCAGAATTCCAACTTAGGGGAGACTTAGGGGAGTGTCGAAGGCGGTGCCACTAGTTATTCCCTGGCCTTTCCAAACAAGTATGTGCATGTGCAGACCCCCGGGTGTTTACTGGAATCCTTATGCCTAATCTTTGGGTGCCCTTGCCTTGAGGACCAATGCAAACACATGTGTCCTCCCAAAGATTACTCACCCCATTGATTGTATCTAAAGATAAAAACTGCAATAAAAGCCTAAGGAAGCAGGCAATTGGGGCTGTCTGGTTGCTATAGCCAGGCAGTCCCTTAGCCTCTCTTTCACAGCAAATGTTCTGTCGGAATAATTCATTCATCCGTGGCTCAGGGTCTGCTGATCAGCCCTGGCAGAAGGCATTTCCCTATGAGCAGCTGTTAGGCTGGCACCTATGGCGGATTTATGCTATCAGAAGTCCGCACTGGCTGCCCTCGCCCATAGGACATTTTGCCCTATTAGGATTTTTTTCTGCCCATGGGAATAATGTAATGACTATATACTGTTTCTGCCTTCTCAGCATCCTTATTTCCTTTGCAGGAACTCTCCTTCTCTTTTCCATGAGTTTCCAGTGGGACTGCTAATCATGATGTGCTGTCCTCAGCCCATGGACACGTGACCCAGGCTGGACCAATCACAGGGCTATATCCCCCACCCCCACCCCACGTCTGTGAATGAGGCAGGGTGGCAGTTTAGGGGCTACCAAAGTTGAAACCATCTCCATCCTCTGATTGCATTGAGATGGAAATTGCAGGTCACTGAAAGACAGACTAATCAGAGTATTTCGCTCTTCCTTAATTCTCCGTGATCACAATGCAACTGTTCCTGTTGCTGCCTGAATGTGGGAATCATCAATTGCTCTGATGGGCACAGATCCCTGCAGCTGTGCAGCTCACTCAGGGAGGGGGTCAGACAACACAGGGCCTGCAAACATGACCAGGAAACCACTGCAAAAGTCCAGGATATCACCACCCCTTTTATTTCCATAGGGAAGAAATAAGGCCTATTTGTTTGTTTTTTTTATATAGTTAGTTAGTTCATTGATATTATTTGGGAACCAATGGGTGCTTTTCTTTGAGCTTCCATAGAAATAGCTATCTAAAAAGTGAGGAAGCATAATTCTCAAAGAGAATTTAAGAGGAGACCCTTAAGACATGGAACCATGCAAGGGCTTTTCATCTTGTTTTCTTTTAAAAAACAGCTTTGTAGACATATAACTTGCATACCTTAAAAGCCACTCATTTTAAGTGTACTATTTAATGGTTTCTAGTAATTTACCATCACCACAGTACAATTTTAGAACATTTTCATCCCCCTCCCTCGAATTTCTTGTACCTATCTGCATGCATTCTCCATCCCCACCCCCGGCCCCTGGCAACCACTAATCTACTTTTTCTCTCTATAGCTTTGCCTTTTCTGGATATCTCTTATAAACAGAATGATGTAATACATGGTCGGTTTTTGTCTGGCTTCTTTCATTTAGTAAACTGTGTTTGAGGTTCATCTATGTTGTAGCTATATGAGTAGTTGATAGTTCGTTTCTTTTTATTGCTGTAAATTACCCCATTGTATGCCGACACCACATTTTGTTTATCCATTCATCCATGTGAGCATTTGGGTTGTTTCCACTTTGGGGCAATTATGAATAATGCAACTCTGAATGTTCCCATGCAAGGCCTCACATAGAGCGATGGCTCTTCAGACAATGCTGGATTCTTCTTCCTCACCACAGCAAGGCAGGCTCTCTCTTGGGAGAACTTTTGTGAACCTTGCTTGAGAATAATGGATAGGGTGATAAAACTCATCTGCTACTCTTTTTTAAAAAATATATTTTTATTGGTTCAGAGAGGAAGGGAGGGGGGGGGGAGAGAGAGAGAGAAACATCAATGATGAGAGAGAATCATTGATTGGCTGCCTCCTGCACATTCCCTACTGGGGATCGAGCCCGCAACCAGGCATGTGCCCTTGACAAGAATCGAACCCGGGACCCTTCAGTCCGCAGGCTGACGCTTTATCCATTGAGCCAAGCCGGCTAGGGCAACATCTGCTACTCTTGAGAAGCCAAAATTGTTATAGAGGGTGTCAGAAGGTCTTAGTCCCTAAGTGAGGGATTTTCCCATATTTCCCTTAGCAAGGCAGGACAACACACAAAAGGGGCCAATTAGTCCCTTGGTTGATATAGATATAGATATAGATATAGATATAGATATAGATATAGATATCTGGAAAGATCTCTTTTCTCATTGGGGTTGCTATGCTGAGAAAATGTAAAGTTGGTGCTCACTAGTGCCACTTGTTCACTATGTGGAAGGAGACTGAATTTATTCAATAATATCAAGTGCCTTCTAGGTGCTAGGCACTGTCTATGTATTATAATAATAGCTGTGCAAGAAATGGACAAAAAATACCTAGAGCTTATCTCTAGTTGGGGAGACCATGAAAAATATAAGATATGTTACATGGTGATATGTATTATGGAGAAAAATGGAGCAGGGGAGGGAAGTAGGGAGTTCCTGGGACATTGTAGAGGCTGCTATTTTGAAGAGAGGAAAGCTGGGGAAGATCAGATTGAGAAGATGATGTTTCAGCAAACCCTTAAGGAAGCTGTGTCATCTAATGCTACCTAACAAATTACCACAGACTTAGCTGCTTAAAACAACACACATTTATTGTCTCACAGCTTATGAGGGTTAGGAGTCTGGATTCTCTGCTTCAGGGTCTCCCACAGTCAGCTTCAATCAAGTCGGCTTGGGTTAGGGTCCTACCCAAAAGCTCAACTGGGAAAGTATCTGCTTTCAAGCTATTGGATTATAAGAATCTTAGTTCCTCGAGGGCTTTGGGCCTGAGGGTCTCAATTCCTAGCTAGGCACCCTCATTTCCTTGCCACGTGGGTCTCTCCATAGTAACTTGTATCATCAAAGCCAGCAAGGGAAGGAGTCTGCCACCAACAAAGAAAGTATTGCCTTATGTAACATAACCACAAAAGTGACATTCCAGCAACAGCTGTGATAGGTCTTGCCTATACTCAGTGGGAGGAGATTTTTCAGGGGTGTCATTATGGGCCTTCTTGGAAGCCGCCTGTCAGTGAGTCATGGGGGACTTCAGGGGGAGTGGGCAGTGTAAGAGGCAGAAGGAACAAGGCAGAAGGACTTGTCTGAGTGTTCAAGGAATAGGGAGGAGGCAAGTGTGGCTGGAGTGCACTGAGCAAGGGGTAAGGGAGTGGAGATGAGGACAGAGGGGTGGGTAATGGGGCCCAGGTTATGTGGGACCTTCTTGACTTTTACTTTGAATGAGATGGGAATCACTGGAGAGTTTTGAGCAGAGGAATGACATGAGCTGACATTATTCTAGATCCTTGATACTCAATCTGTGGTCTGTGGCCCCGCAGCATCGCCATTACTTAAAGCTTGTTAGAAATGCAGCATCTCGGGCCCCGGTCCAGACCTACAGAATCCAAACCTGCATTTAATAAGATTCCCCAGGTAAGTGCACTGCACAGGCAAGTTGGAACCTTAGTGGCATCAGAATCACCTGGAGGGTTTGTTGAAACACAGCCTTCCCAAGGCTGGTGTAAGATAAGGCAGATTAGAAAAATGCGTGTGAAGCACTAGTGCATCAGAGTTCAGATCCCCAAGTTTCTGATTCAGCGGGTGCATTTCTAGCAAGGTCCCGGAGGAACCTGCTGCTGCTGGTCCAGGGACCATGATTTGAGAACCACTGGTCTACAGTGTGCCTGGGGCCAGGCTGAGGGCTGAGTAAGACAAACCCCCATCTTCGAGTTACTCACAGGATCAGGCCTTTCTCCCAGCCTCTGGGGAAGAACAACATGTCAGAGCCAAAGCTCCTTCCTTGTCATAAATCCTAGGAAGGCAGGTTTCATATGCTGCCCCTGGCACCCCATCAGTGCCCTCACGTTCATGCCCACCCTGGTGCTGTTCTATTTCTGCAGTCAGTCCCATCTCTGTTTCTCCTAGCCGCACAGAGAGCGGGAACAGGTGGTCACCAGCTCCCTGCTGTTAACTCTTCATATGTGTGCAGCCCATTATTAAATCGCCCTCAGATTTTCCTTCTCCAAGACTAAATAATTAGCTACCCTTTTCTGAATCATGGGGTGGAGAGGGTTTGGCTGACGATAGCTACCAGCCTCTGACAGGATCATATGTGGTGGAAATTCTTGAACCAGTGTGGGGGCTGGAGGTAAGATGGGCTGGGGGCTTCAAAGGTTAGACCATTAGACTCCTTCATCTAAGCAAGATCCTTAGAAGAGATGCTGGCAGACAGCAGGCAAAATCAGGAGCTGTCCGGTGGGACGCAGGAATCAGCTGGAGGTCAGCCGTCACGGGTGAGTCAAACATCTTCAGGGACTATGGGCACCATCAGGCTTACTCCCACCTCAGTGAGGTCTCCCACCCTCACCCATTCTAATCAATGGAACGACACTCACGGGGCAGCCCGGCTGGTGGTGATCAGCCTCCTAGGTAGGAAATGTCTGAACATCACAGATGATGTCCTGGTGTGCCCAAGGTCAAGGTCAAACTTTGGACTACCTGTGTCAGCATCTTCTGGGAGGCTTGTTAGGAAGCAGACCTCCAGACCCTACTCCTAAACCTACTGCATCAGAGTCTTTGGGTGAGGATTCTGAGATTAGGGAGTTTAACAAGGCAGCCCCCCACCCCACCTCCCCTACCCCTTCTTATATGCACAGTCAAGTTTGCGAAGGGCTGTCCTAGTGTGTGATATGGCTCTTTATTCTCAATCTTGGCCACCAACAAAAAAGGAAAACTGTTCAGGGTAAATAAAGTGCCGGGTACAGCTACTAGGAAAAATATTGACTTGTCTGTGTGGTGTGTTTATATTTTGGAAATAAAAAATAGTAATAGCGAGCATTTCTTGAGTGCCTCCTTGGTGGCAGGCACTGTGCTAAGGGAAGAATATAGATTGGCCTGTGGAATCCTCGCCTCCATGAAATTAGTGGCTGTTCATATCCCATTCACTTGAGGAGGGACTGAGTTGCATAGAGACACGCCGAAAGTCATACAGCTGGTAAATGGCAGGCAACATGACTTAGACCCACACCTGGCTGACACTGGCTGTGATTTTAACCTCCACATTATCCCTTCTCCTTTCTGACACACATTTCCTTTCCAACTATGAGACAAGATAAGAGGCACCCTGGCCACAGATTAAATATATGCTGGGGGAAGGGGCAGGGGGACAACGACCACTAATTCTGAACTATGCACTACTGCTTCACATGCATTTTTCTAATTTGCCTTATCTTACACCAGCCTTGGGAAGGGTTATTATACCCATTCTGCAGGTGAGGAAAACTGAGGCTACCAGGGATTAAGTGGATTGCCTCAGGCCATACAGCTATTATGTAGATGAAGCTGGAATAGAAGCCAGATCTCTTACTATAGAATCACAGGGCCCCTGGTGAGGATGGAGATGAAAGGGGTCAGTCCTGAGGATTATACTTAAAAGGTAGCCGCCCTTCCTATTTAAACCAGCCGTTTCATTAGCCTGGAGACTTCTTACTTCCTGAATGTGCCGACACACTGCCCAGGTTTACAGGCACAGCTAAAACAGGCTCTAAATGGCATGTTCGGGAAGCTGTATACTTAAAACGGACCTGCATGGCAGAAATAGAAAGTCACTTAACCAAATGTGTGTTGCCCATATGGATGTCAGTGACTGCTTTTGCCAGTCTGGCGCTTTTTAACTATAATGGGCATCCTGAGATCTGTGGTTTGCGTTGCCACCTTCAGAGTCCTGCAGAGAAAACCATTATTATGTGCCTGTGTCTGCCATCAGAGTGGGCTGGGAGGGCAGAAGGTGAGAGGCCAGGTTCCTCATAGCCGCTTAGCCGCTGTAGGCTGAGGAGCCCAGGAATGCCACCAGGATGTACCTGCAGCCTCGTCTCCTGATCACAGCACTGTCATTCTGTGTTAGGAGGGGCTGAACCCCAGAGCCCTCTAATCCGCCCATTGGACAGCTCTGCCTGGATGTTCCACAGCCCCGTCAGCATGGATGTGTCCTTTTTGTCTGCCAGAATCTTTTTAGAGAACCTGCACCCTCCCCCCCCACATGGTCCTTGCAGGAACATGGCTCATGATGCCCACACATCTGTGGTCAATGGTCCAGGCCGACCCAAGCAGAGTGCCGAGTCCTCAGAGTTTGGTCCCCGGACCAATTAGAGTTGTTCCTTAAGATTTCATAAAAAGCCTCTTTTCCTTTTGGAGCATCAGGTGTTAAAATATAAGCTGAAGGCCATTAGTGGCCATTTTTCTAATGTTCAGAGAGAAGCTGCGAGGAGGTGAGATATGGAGAGAGAGAGAGAGCATGGGTCCTCATGGCATCAACAGCATCCCTAAGCAGCCGTGCCTGTAGGATTTGCCTGGGACTCCCAGTTGATGAGC